AAAGGACTTGTGTCGCTAAAGTTTAGTCGGAAAGAAGTTACAGAAAATTAATTAATGACTGGAGGCGTAACAATAGTTTTTAATAAAATGAATATTTTCAACTCTGAATTTATAAACTTTCCATTTCTAAATACAAAGTAGATAGCTTGCTCTGATTGAAAGTTAATATTATTAAAGTTATCTGTAAATTAATGTACCTGTGAATGATGTCTTTTAGCTTGAACAGTCTTTGACAGTTGTCTCTTATCATTGTTTGATAACTATTTAGAGAATTTCCAAATCATAGTTTTTCTTCGTAGATGAAGTTTTTGATCTGATAACTATGCAGTGTAACTTGATACACAGGGGCCTTTGATTAAATTGTCACTCATCTCAAGTGTCCTTGCAATTGAGGCACCTGCACACTAAGTTTCAGCCATAACACTTCACTCAAAGTTTGATAAGTCATTTGCCTTTCCCATTATAGTTATAAAAGGTACTCATACAACTTCCTTCTGTATTTCTAGATCCATAGTGGTTTTATTTCTGTAACATGTAAATACTTTCTTTATTTAAACACAAAGTGAAGATTGGTCTGTTCTATAGGTAAGGCATACCTTGATGTTATTGGTGCTTCAATTAAGCCATGATTTCAGATCCATTCTCCCCACATGTAGGCTAAACACTTTGGGAAGTCTGATGTCAGGAGATAATGATCAGCTCTACAGTCTTTCAAAATTAAGTATACTGGTGAGGAGAGGTCAATGTGCCTTTTAGATTAACATCTTTTTTTGGTCAATGAAACAATAAAATAATAAACACCTGAATGGGTTTGGGTCTCTTACTAAAGAAAAAAATCAAGCTGAATATAGTCCAGACATTTCCTGGTCTCTTCTGGAATGGCTTTGTTACCCACATTGATGGTATCAGTGATTCAGATTTTCTTAGGTGTAAAGTTCGCAGGTATGGTTTAATTGTAAAACATAATTTAAACTGTTTTTGCAAAATCTTGGAAATTTTAATTTTTTAAATTATTGTTACTACTTGTAAAAGTAAGAAACTGTGTAATAAAAGCTGGAGATTTATAAGATTGAGGATTAATATGGTAGGCAATCTGAGAGTTACGGGTTTGAATCCCCATCACCAAACATTCTTGCCCTTTCATCTGTGGGGTTGTTATATTGTGATGGTCAATCCTACTATTTGTTAGTGAAAAAGTAACCCAAGAATTGGCAGTGGATGGTGTTGACTAGCTGTTTTCCCTTTAATCTATCATTGCTAATTTAGGAATGACTAGTGCAGAGAGCCCTCATGTATCTTTGCACAAAATTCAAAAGATAAACAAATAAATAATAAGTAGAGAACATTGAATTCATGACAGTCAAAAAACCTTCTTCATATTTACTTTCACAGCATCATTTTCTGTACATGCCCTGCTATACTAATGAGAGTAAAAAATATCATAGAGGCAACATAACATAGGATGTACAACATTTTAAGAGTTTGAACTTGTGAAATTTCTTAAATGATTTTTCCAGTGTTCAATTCAGTTATGAAAATAGGAAGGAGTATGTTTGTTTGCAAAACATTAATGCAGCTAATAAACAGTGAAATCATTTGACTTACAGGAAAATACGGGACTTTAGTAGCAGTCCGTCAAACCTCAGAACCAGCACTGTACAAAAAACAGATATCTCTAGAACAGCTTGGTCGAGACTTATGTCAGCACATTATTGGTATGAATCCTCTAAATATAGGCCAGCAAGGGGAGTCACCATCATCTGACCCTGAAGCTGAAACTCGAATGCTACAACAGGAGTTTCTTTTGGATCCTCAATTGTTGGTAGCTGACTTGCTGTTCCAGGCTGGAGCAGAGGTTTTGGATTTTGTACGGTTTGAATGTGGAGAAGCAGCTTTAGAAAAAGACTAGAACATTTTAAGTTATAATCTTGTCATCAAGACTTACTGAAATGGTATTGTCATATTATAGAAAATTAAAAAATGTTATTGTTGTAAGAGTGAGTGATGTTTTATCTTTATTTCAGAAAAAAGATTCAGTGTAACATACATATATATGCAAAGTAGTACTAAATAGTAGTCTTTCTGGAAAAAAAAGCTCTCAAACTTCTGGGCTGGGTATGACCTAGCAGTTAATGTGCTCAGATTGTGAATCTGAAAGTTCATGGTTTGTATCCTATTGTCACAAAAAGTTGCTCCATGGGTGTGCTATAAGAGTGACAGCAGTTAAATCCCACTGTTTGGTCAGACAAGAGTAATCCAAGAATTGTTAGTGGTGGTGGGTGCTGTTGTATAGCTGCCTTCTCTCTAGTCTGTCAGTTCAAAACTAGGAATGATTTGTGTAGATAGCTCTTATACAGATTTGTTTAAAAATTCTTAAGAACAAAGAGACATTAACTTCTGTAAGGTGTTTAATGACAAGGATAACTTCTCTATCAAAAGGGATTTTAAACTTCTATTTAGAATTATCCAGTTTTGAAATTGCTATATAATAAAACATACTGAAATATTAATGTTGATAAAAATACAGTTCTGCATTTTTACAAAAGCTCCATTCTTATAAAACTTGTTTTATGCAGTACTCATGTTTGAGAAAAAAATTACTGTTTTGGATGTTTGTAATTTTTCGATTATTAGTGTTTACCATTAGTGGCAGAAACTTCAGTTGACACCACTTGTGAAATTCTTTGTGATTAAGCAGTGAAGAGATGCTAATTCTTAAGAAATTTCTGCTTGTGAGATACATTACCATGTTGGAAATTAACTTGGTATTAAATCTTAGATGCTAATAATTACATTCAGTATTTTTTAAAAATCAATTAATTTTGACCCCATTTGATACTTACATAAAAAATTTGCATTGATATGAGAATTATTTAAAATACATTGTTATCCTGTGTTTATTACATTAAAGTAACTAACCAAGAATTCTTCTTCTTTCTTGACATGATAAAATTCAAATACACTTTTTGTATCCTAAAGCTATACATATATAATGATTGTAACATAGTGCATGCAGATGTACATAAGTAATATATAGAGTTTAGATATAAGAAAACTAAACAAATTGCAGGCTTTCAGATGATAATTTGATTTACACAGATGATTTTTGGTAATAGATTTACAGAAAGAAGCCTTATAACTAATCCATTGTGTTTTTCTAAAAAGTCCCCTGTACACTTTGAGAATTTGATGTTGATTTTTGTAGAACTCTTTACAGCAGTAATTATCTAATTAAACTTGCTGAGTTCAGGTGTGTGCTTAACATTATGTAGCATATTTGTGGGGGTCTTTTAGTACTTTTTTAATTTGTCACATAGTAATGTAAATTAACCTAGGTTTGTGAATAATATTATGGCATTGTGCCTAATTTATTATTTGATATCATACAGCTGACAGACTTTTACTTTTTTATTCTAGAATCTTATCTACATATTTTTTAATTGAAAAATAAATGTATCATCTACAGTACAATGGCTTATATGCAACAAGACAATATATCAGTCACTGTTTCTCATAAGGACTTTATATCAGTTGGCTGGTAGGTTTATTCATAGGGTTTGCATTCACACAAATAACAAATAAGTTTATTTATTACCAGGTTATGCAGTTGTGGGTTAAGCACATAAGCCACCAACTCGAGGAAGATTACATTCAGAATAAAGAATTCACTCGGAGACTGATTATTGGTTATAATGTAAAAGTTTAATTAAAAATATTCAAATATTCCTTAATATCAGTAGTTCCAAAATTGTCATGAAATTATTCTGCATCAAAATAATTAGATTCTTTGTTCTGAATGATTAACTCTTCCTTAACTAAGCTTACTACAAGGTTCATTAATGTGGAAACTATAACAAACAAGTTCTCAATTAGGTTAATATATGAAATACATTCAGACATAGTTATGTTTAGCCAGTTCAGTTAATACTTCTTCCAGTATGTTTCTTGACAGATCTATTATTTCTTCTATTAGTTTTGCTAAAGCTGTGACAGTTATCTTTTTACTATTCTTTCCTCAGACATAATACATCATTTACGGAATACAATGTTAGACTAGATAGACATAGCAATAATTACTTACAATGAATTTGTGCAATAGATTTTTGCTACTTTTCTGGGTAGCATTAATCAGTCAAGAGAGCTCTCTTTTCAGATCAAAATCACAGCATTTTATGCTGTTTATTTCATATAATTTTGACTCATGAAAAAATTCATTTGACCCAAACTTGCCTATGATTCTTCCAACTTGATTGCTATGTTGACGATCTTCCACCAAATCATAACTATTTACTAATTGGTTTATATGGAATTATTTCTCAACAGTTATTAGTTGTCAAGAGCATAGATTTTCAAGTCTAATAATTTAGACTGTATGGATATGAACCAGTTCAGTCTTTTCACATGTTCTCTTCCACTTGCTGCTCTTTTTTTTAGATTGGTGTCTGATATTATAAACTCTCATTGATTTTCTACACCATGATCATGTATGTTCAATGCTGATAAGAACCATTGATTTCTACTTCTCATATTACAACTTGGAATGCATTTTCAATTAACTCGTGTATCATGAACCATTAGAGGGATCACACAGGAATTTGCTCAGAACTGTAATAGAACATTTGGGCAAAAACCACTTTAAAAAGCAGATTTATTCTTGAAACTACACTCAAAACCTTCCTTTTTAATAACTAAGACCACCCAAATAAATATATAATAAGCAAAATAAGTGATTTCATGATTGTGGACAAAATCAAAATTTCCTCATTTGTTTAAATTATTATTATTAATATTCTTGTTTTACAAGCCTACAGCAAAATCTGTTGAGTATTTTGCACAAAAACCTTAACATTTATATTATATGAAATGTTGCGAATGTCCATGACCTATTTAAAAGTTGATTATTTTTGATTGAAAGTGGATTTTTGTGGTTATAAGTACATAATAGCTATGATGTTCTTATGAGTGGCTGCCTTTGTCTTTGATGCATGTTTACAGTAAATAATTACCGTAAAAGTCACGAAGCTTTACTTAAAGCAATATTTTAGAAGTATTTGTTATATTTGAAAAGGCTACTTTTCTATTGTTAAAATATCATACATGCTTACTGGGGGTTGTGTCTTACTTTAGGCATATATTTGCTCATTGCTGTGCATTAACAAAACCAACATACAACATAATTAAATTTGAGAATTTAAAATCTACAAATAGGATTGAAAAAAAAAAGGGAAGCAAACAAGGCTGGAGCTCTACTGCTGATAGTTTGTTCAAGCTACAAATCTCTATTATGCCTCCACTATAAAGTTAGTGTAAGCGATATCTACTGTAGTGTGGGAGTGCACAGGAATTTTGAGAAAAATGGAGACAGTACTTTTAAACTTAATTCAATCTTCTTACTTTTATCATGGTCAAAAATTTTCTAAATCCTTCATTTTCCGTCATCAAAAAATCCTGTGTTTCCCTAGCATGCATGTTAGTTGGAAAGTACAACTTGTGCATTTTCTAGCTCATTAATTGGAAACTACCATGTAAAAGATTCCCAATTTAGCTGTTGCATATCCTTACTATCACTCAAGTTTACTGTTTCTACATGGATTTCTGCAACTGTATTTCAGCAAGTTTTTTTACAGTAGATAATTACTGTAGTATATTTCCCTACTCAGACGATGTTGGTTTTTCTTTCTACCATTTCTTATACTTAGTTGAAATTGTGAGTTCGTATTCAATATTTATTACTACTGCATATAGCACAATTTCATATAGCTCTTGCTATTTGTAAATAGATGGTGTTAAGGTAGTGTTTGTAAATGTAGTTGATTATTAGCGACTTACAATAAGTGTGTTGCTGTTGTTTATTTTGCATGCATTATTTATTCTGCCAAGCACTTGTATACAACAGGCTGTTGAAGAACATACATATGTCATGTAAACCTAACAAGGTAAGCATGTTACTGGGTCTTTTTACGTTGAATTAATTTGTGTTGTATTATCTTAGAAGAAACATTATTCCTTTCTGATGAGATTGCGTTTTTGCTGCTCGTCTTTTGTTACATTACACCGTGACATTGATGGAAGTCACTCGTTAAATCTGTGATGATACAATATTTGCTTTCAAGGGGTCCTTTGAGAACAACTTTACATCTGTTTGTTGTAGTTGCATATCAGTACATGTGTTTATTGTTTGTTGTACTTTTGTTACATATGTTGAACAAGTTCATTATGGTGGTTAGGTGGAAAAAAGCCAATGCAGTAGTACAATG